TCTCTCTCTCTCTCTCTCTCTCTTCTCTCTTCTCTCTCTCTCTCTCTCTCTCTCTGCTCTCTTCTCTCCCTCTCTCCTCTCTCCTCCTCTCCTCTCTCCTCTCTCTCCCTCTCTCCTCTCTCTCTCTCCCTCTCTCTCTTCTCTCTCTCTCTCTCTCTCTCTCCTCTCTCTCTCTCTCTCTCTCTCTCTCTCTTCTCTCTCTCTCTTCTTCTCTCTCTCTCTCTCCTCCCGTTCTTGCTATCTTCTATTTCTCTGTATTTCTTGCTCTCTCTCTTTCTCTGTATTCTTGCTCCTCTCTTTCTCTTTCTTTCTTTGTCATTCTCTCTTTCTCTCGCTCTCTCGCGTGTGCGTGTTGTGTGGTGGTGTGTGTTTGTATGTGTCGCGCGCGCGCGCGCGTGTGTGTGTGTGTGTGTGCGCGTGCGCGTGTGTTTGTATGTATCACGTGTGTGTGTGTGAGTGCGCGTGCGCGTGCGTTTATGTTTGGGCGTGACTGTGTGTTTGTGTGTGTGCATGTGTGTTCGTGTTCGTGTGCGTGCGTTTGTGGTTGCTTGTTGTGTTTATTAGTATGTTAAATCTTAATATTTAATCATCTTTTTTATTAAAATATTTATCTATTTATTTTCCTTTCACGTCCACATATGGGAGACTGCCTTGGGTTATCCTTAATGTACACACGCTGATGCATCTCGACAACCGTACATCCAATGCATGTACACTTGTCCATTCATACACAGATGTGCACATCACGCATCGGCAACAAGCATGAAGCTCATGTGTCAGTGTGCATGGACAGACAGCGGCACCTCTGGCCATACTCGGCAAATACTCTTCGCTAGTTTATCTAGTAACAGTGCTTGACAGCAAACAACAGAAAATAAAGATAATGTTAAGAAATAGGAAATAAAACAAAAATAACAAAAATAGAATTTTAAAAAACTGTGGCCTAAGACTAAGCGGTATTTACGAGCCATGCATTTACTATGACAAGCTCGCAAGTTTGGCGGAGAAACTGTCTCGGGCGTCTCGTGGCATTTCTTGTGACCAAGCATTGGCATTCTTCCTTTCGTCCGACCATAACGGTGATCATCATTCGTCCACATGAATCAGTGTCTGATAACTTATTGTGCTTTAGCTTCCTTTTGTTCTCTGACCATCCCCATCTTCCTCTCCCTCCTTTCTTTCACTTCCTGCCTCCTTCAGGCCCCTCGCCCTTTAGTACCCCTTATCTCCCATTCGCCACTCCCTCTCACTCCGCTCCTAATTTTATGAGTGACCCATGTGTAGCGGCTTACAACATTATTTTAGGCATTCGCTACATTAATACTGACACATTTAAGATGCTCTCAACTAGAGTCTCAGTCAATCACAGGCTTTATTTGGCTGTGAAATTGCACTGAATGGTCAGAAGTGCCGCTGGCTTTACGTGGAAATGATGTTATATGTCCACATATAAATATTATTCGGTCCTTCTTGTCTTTCCCCTTCCCTCCTCCTCTCCTCCATCCCTTTCCCTCTCCCCCCCCCTCACCATCTCCCTTCCCCCTATATTCTTTCCAATATGTGTCCCGTCCGCCCTTTACCCCAACTTCCTCATCCCTCCCATCCCTCTCCCTCTTTCCCCTTCCACCATTTCCCCTCCCCATTCCCCATCCCCTGCACTCCCTTTTCCCCTTCCATCCCTACCTCCTATACCCCTTTCTAATTTCGTCTTCCCCTTCCCCTTCTCCTACCCCACCTCCCTCTTTCTCCCTCCCTACCCACCTCCCCTTTTCCTTTCCCTCTCCACCTCTTCCATACCCCCTCCCCTTCCCCTTTACCTCCCTTTCTGCCTTCCACCTCCACCTTCCCTTTTCCCTTTCTCTCCTACTCCCACCCCCCTCCCCCTCCCCAGGTGCTGAGGCATCCCGCTGCCGCCGGCGCCTCCGTGGAAGCCCTGCGTCAGCACCTCCGCCGAATAGACCTGTCCTTCTCGGAGCGGCTTGACAGTGAGTGATTGCGCTGGCACGGCCGCTGCCGCGGTCTGTTGCCCGTGTCTGTGTTCATACTGCCCTTATGCTCCCTGCTGTGTTCTCTTCCCGGAATGTCAGTGTTTCCCACATGCTCTCACTCCGCCTCCCTCCCTGCACGCTCCTCCGCCCTTCGACTTTGCCGTTGCCCTGACTGCACCGGCCCTGCGCGCGCCTGCACCCTGCTCTCACGCTGCTCTGCGCCCCGGCTGCCCACCCTGATCCCCATCCGCCCTGGCGATCTCCCTCCCTGCGGCAGGGTACCTGGCCGGCCCTGACATCGATGATGTGTGTGAGTAGTGCAGCCATGTTTCTGTTCTTCGAACTTCGTGCAAAGAAACTGCGCGACTGTGAGTCCATCTATACATTTATCTACATCTGCCTATATCCACCTATTTACCCGTTCAATCTATCTGGCCACCCATCTTCCCGTTGCAGTGGTGCGCGCGGCGGTGCGGGGCCGCCCACACTGCTGGCGCGCCGTCGGGAGGCCCTGGGCGTCGACCGGGCGACCCTGACCCGCCTCTCGCGGGATGAGCGCTACGACGATTCCGGACGCATGTGCAGGGTAGGAGTCGGGCCGGCGCGCCGAGGGGCGTCCGCTCTCGCTGGTCTGTGTGCACGACAAGGCCCGGTGAGGGCGTTGCAGAAGGCGTATCATCTCGTTCCCTTTTGCAGATCCTGCAGCTCGCGGTGGGGGCTGGCAGGCTGCAGAGCAACCAGGAATTGGTCGCCGTGCTGAGAAAGTTCCTCGATTCACACCTTGTACCTACGCCGCCCGTCAGGAGACTCTGACGCCGAGGGCCGCCCGCGCGCCCGTAGGCCCCTCGCCCTCGGCTCCTCCGTGGCGCAGTTCGGCTGAAATTCCCGGTCCCTTCATTCCTGAGTGCCCGCAGAAGGCCTCGGCCCAACCCTTCAGCGACTAAGTGAAACCCTTCAACATTATGCAGTGTATATATATATATATATAATATA